GCTCTGCTTGCCCCCTGGCTTCCAGCTCTCTTGGCTTTGCCGTGCCCTTCGCCCGGTGCTGTCGGGACATCGCGGGGGGCGATGGGGGGGAAAGTAGCGCCCGTGGGAAGGCCGCGGGCTTTGGTGGTCGCGCCGAGCCATAGCCGGTGCGGGCTGGAGGGGGAACCGCAGCACCTCGATTCTTCGCTTCTCTCCATCTCTCCTGTTTTGCGGAGCTAGGAGGTTATGGAGTCTTGAGCATCCTTTCTTGAGCTTGCTGGGCTGATGTGCTTTGAATAATTAACGTAATGCTGCTTCTGCTGAGCTGCAGCTGATTAACTTCTGCGGGAAGAGCAGTGGGTTGCCATTCTCCATCGTTCTTCCCAGCAGTCGTGACCTGCAATCCTCGCAGATGAGCCACATTTCAGCCGTGTTTTCTGTGGCCGTAATGGCATAGTCTGACCCATGATGTATTTTCTGCACATATGAGGAAACATTCTCCAAGTTCTCAGAGTAGCCCTGGGCATTTGGTTCCTAGTGCCCCGGGCAGGGTGAGAGGAGGCCTCCCTGTTGATACCTTTCTTGTGCAACCTTCTCAGATTAGTGAGAACTTGTAGCTGTTGGTACAAATGCAGCCGGTTTTATCTGGTGTGATGGTCAGGAAAAGCAGCTGCTTGGTCAGTGAGGTACTAGGCAGGAGCTTCCTCCTGAAGCTCTGGCCTCTGTAGAGCTGTGACTGAGGCTCTGACACGGAGGAAGAGAATTGGAGAGAAAGGAGAATTGGTCTCATGAGGGAAACCACAGCTGAGCTTTCTGCCTGGGTGATTGTACCAGGCTTAATTGTTGCTTGAGGAAATGCAGTTGGTGGAGCATCCCTGCTGCTGCTTTGGTGACCTGAGTGGTTTTGGTGAAGGGATTAATTTAGGAGGAATGGGGAGATCTGCTCTCCTCACAGGTGTGTAGAGTGCCAGGTGGTTTGGGAGCAGATCTGGTGCCAAGATGAGACCTGCCTGAATGTTGCCATCTGGCTGGCTTGCTGTGTTTGAGATCAGGAGGAGCTCACAGTGTCAGTGGTGATTCAGTTGTGACGAAAAGTCTTTAGACTTGGGCAGTTGGCAAAGCTCTCCCATGTTTAGTTTTTTTCCTGTTGTCACTATTTTATTTGGCTTGTGTGTAAATGCCTGTGACAGATTCCAGCCCTGATGGGAGAGGGACTGTTTTGTACAAACAGTGGCCATTGATGTGGCTTTTGTCCTTGACAACTGATAGTGGAGCTGGCTCAGTGCCTTTTGTGCTGACTCTTCAGTCTTCTGTGGGCGTGTTTTAAAGTTAGGTTCCCATGGACATTCCTGTTTGTTGGTTTTTACGTGCTTTAATTAATCTCAGAAAATACTGCGCCTTTTCACTCGAAGGAGAATCGTCTTATGCGTGGCCTGGGGCGTGGTGGCCACTTGTGCACATGGATTTGAGGAGATGTTCAGTGCAGAGATGAAGGGTCCTCTCGTCTTGGTTGGATGAGGTGATATCAACCGGCAGAAAGGTTTTAAATCCAGCTTGCTTTGTAATTTTGGAACCTCTCAAGGCAGAGGAGAAAGGAAGTTAAATTCTCAGTGCACCAAAAAAAAACCCAAGCGGCACCACAGATTTCCTAGGACCTCAGTAGATCAGTTCTGTATAAGCGTGCCCCCAGCTGGCTTTGTAGCCGTAGCCACATGAGTGTGCCATCGCTGTGTTACAGTTCCTTTTGTATGTGCAGATACGCTTTTGCTTCCTTCTGGAGCTTTGCCTTGTGTTCTTTGGCTTCACAGCAGCAGTAATACAAACAAAATGTCTTCCCATTACTGGTCTTGCTTTCCTCGCTGACTTGAGAGGAGCAATGGCACTAACATAGTTTATTTGATGATTCCATGCTGTCTGTCCTGATTATACCAGTGCTTCTCCTTGAGTCACACCAAGGTGAAGCTTTCCAAATCCCCATATTCCCTGCAGATGGCAGGAGACCGTTGCTTGCTCTGTCCTTGGAACAAGATCACTAAGACCTGTCGGACAATTCAGCGGTTTTTTTCCAGCCTAGCTATGATGGCACCTTGTACTGCTGATTTTCAGAATTAGTTTCCCAGATTGCTAGCTGGCAGATCTCAGCACAGATACTGTTTTAATTTAGCTCTACATTCTGATAAGTGAGTGGCAACATATCTTGGATACCAGCTACATGCAGCTAGGTTCTTTATCCCACTGTATCCCAGCTGCAAGAGCATCCTTAAAGCTGCTGGCAGTGAGTATGCCAGAGGGAAGCTGATTGTGTGACAGCCACTTCACCTCTGGTGGCCACCTGACTCAGTGTTTATTGCTTCATGTAGAGATAATAAAACAAGTTGCTGTGCTGATAGAGGGAGATAACTGATTTCCTGTGTCCAGCAAGCTCTGAAATTCTGCAATCCAGATCAAGAGATTCAAGCTTCGATTGACTTAAAACCCCTTTGTAATTGAAATGGTGGGTTTTGCTCTTTTTATGCTTTTGATAGAGGCTGTGTCACTTGTAGTGTGTTTTATAGGAGGAGAAAGAGGTATGGTCTGAGGCAGAAATAGCTCAGGTAGATGAACCCCACAGGGCCCATTTTGTGTTGATGTTTCTTCGGTGACATGAAGATGCTGGAGGGAGATCTCAGATTCTCAAAGGTTGAGAAGTTTCTGTGAAATTCCTCAGCTGTGTGGGGAGGAGGTGTGTATCTTCCACAGCCAGGCCAAGCTGTGGCAGTTTCAACCAGGCGTTTGTAGCACAGGCAAGTGGGCATTAAGGGCCATATGTGTCAATGACATCTTGGGTATGTACTGTAAAATGACTAATTCCTCAGCTGTGTGGGGAGGAGGTGTGTATCTTCCACAGCCAGGCCAAGCTGTGGCAGTTTCAACCAGGCGTTTGTAGCACAGGCAAGTGGGCATTAAGGGCCATATGTTTCAGTGACATCTTGGGTATGTACTGTAAAATGACTCAAATATCAAGGAAACTGCTAGGCCTATTATTTTTAATACACAGAGATAGAATTTTAGAGGCTTGAAGCTTCATCTAGGAGCAGAATGAGAACTTGTGCCCTGGGGACTGCAACGCTGTTCGCTCAAGCAAAGGAAAGAAGAAAACAACTGAGTGGGTGGGATTTTCCTTGAGATGTGGGGGAGGAAAAGACAGCGAGATTCTGGCTGCTTCTGCAGCACAATTGCAGAGCTCTGCACAGCCCTACCTGTCAGTTTTCGTATGAGTTAGAAAGCTTAGTAGAAGTGTGCAAAGGCAGCCAGATCCGTGTGATTATTGGGATGGAGGGAAATGGGAGACATCTGAAGAAGAAGGTAGATGAGGGGGTGTGAGGAGGAAGTGGCAGCTGAGGCGGGGGCATGGCGGCCAGGAGGAACATCACTTGCATCCCCAGAAGAGGTGACTGTCTTTACGGGCAGCTGCTGTGGTGAGCCTGGGTCTGTTCATTTCATTCTCCCTCCTTTACATAATCTGTGTTCTGAATGAGTAGATACTGACTGCGTAGGCTGTGTGGCATGGCTTCTGGCATATGTCCTGGTTTTCGTGGGCTGCTTCAATCCTTGCTGTGAGATGTTTATTTAATCTCAATCCTGACAGTAAACTGTAATTTAGTGGATAGTGCTGGTGAAACTGAAATGCCTTATGAGGATACTGGTTTCTGAATACCTAAAGCAGCAGCAGCAAAAAAAGATTAAAAATCTAGTTTGCTTTGGGGTCCAAGAAGTTTCAAAGTGTGGGTTTTACGTTGCTTTGGTTTATTTTTATTTGCTTTTTGTTTTTAGTCTTGGCTATAAATAGTTCTCTAGATCTGGGCAAAATCACTCTGAGAATAGTACATGGCTTTTTGTGAAGGTTTGCAGTGGTACCTGATCCTTGGCTCTTCTCATGAAGCATGCAGGTTCTTGGCTGCTCCGTGAAACCCATGAGGTTGGTGAAACCTATGGAGGTGGAATGTGCCTTGTTCCATCTTGACCCTTCCAGTTTCAGGGTTCATATAATCAAATGAGATTGTGACGGGTGGAAGTTGAGGATGTGGTGAAGCCTAGCACCTCATCAACAGTGATACCTTTATAGCACCTCTCCTATGGATTTCATGTCTAGTGATACTCTTGCATCTTGCACCTCTCACACGTTTCTACCTGCTAGGTTTGTCCACACCAGTGGAGAGATCTAACTTTTCTCTCTCCTTTTCTTCCTTTCCCAGGGAAGCCATCAAACAACAGGCTGCATAGAGCAGCATTGCAGGACAACCCTTTTCCACAAGGAGGAAGAATTTGCTGTGCTCAGGTCCTCGTCTTTCAGTGGTGATTCTGTGATGCAAGTTCCCAGAGTTTCTCTTTCTGTGATAATCTTCTCTATGGCCTCTTCTTGCTGACGTTTGCCCCGGTGTTGGGGCCAAAGAGGAAGGATGCTGAAGAATGGGTACCCCCGTTTTGGATTTTAGAACATGGGCACTTGTGTAAAGGTATGTGATTGCCCTTTGGTCGGAGGGGTGGAATATCTGTGGAGGCCAGCAAAGGGGATTTGCTGGGCTTGGAAAGTCATGGCTATTGTCGGGGGGAAATACCTCATTTAAGCTTTCTGCATGCTGATGTCCATTGCTGCTGCTGCTGAGATGACTGATGAATAACTCCCCTTTTGTGTTTGTTAAAAAAGAGGGAAAAAAAACCAACAAAAAAAGAAAAAGCAGCTCGAATGCACAATGTAGCTTCTCACTAACTGAATGGTGACACGGCGAGCTATATTGTATGCATTAGTGTATGCCAAAGTGTTTGTCTAATTGTCACACACGTTCCTTGCTGCTGCTCTTGTTCCATCTGTCGGCTACGTCTTATCAACCAAACAGCATGTTCTTCTTCTGGGTGTGCTCTGTTTACTACATGTTTGTTTAGCAGTCCCCTCAGCGAGAACTTGATTCTAGATTAGTGTCTAAAAGTTGCTGTAATTGTGATAGTGTGCAAAAGCAAAGTTTTAGCTTTGTACGTTGATCAGCAAGAGTTTCAGCAGAGAGGCTCCACTTTGCAGAACTGAGTAGGAAAGTACAGATGAACTGTTTTCCAGTTGCATTCATGTTTTCCATAGTAGAGTTCCAGGGCAAAAAATGGATTCGTCTTTGCCCTAGAATGATTTTGTTTGTTCTGAGCAAAAGGGGATGGTCCTGTCTGCAACCGTTTTATTCCATGGCTTTTTCCTTCTAAGGTTGCTGGTTGAGGGTCAGCTTCTGTTCATTCTGGTGGTGGCTCTGTGATGTGCTTTCATGGCAGAGTAGAAGTTAACTTGTGACTTGCAGAAGCAAATAGCTGTGAGTTTTTGGATGAGTGGCTTTTGGCCACTGCTGCTGAAGTTGGTGATCCTGCAAAAAGCAGCTCCTCCTTGCAGTACCCAGAGCCCACTCTCACTGGTTTTTGAGGATATGGTGTTGTCCTTACTTTAGATCCCTGAGATTGAGTGGGAATCTGTGATGGAGGGAGAACTGTTCCTTGTAGCATGCTGTGCTGTTTACGTATTTCACAGTCTTACAGAATAATGCTTTAGGGATGTCCTTGGAGAGGAAGATAGATGATTGATAGGTATTTGTCTGAGGAATCATAGATTAAATTTAGGCCAGTGTGTGTGAGGAAGAGTCACTGGACTGGACTTGGCCTATTTTGTGTTCTAGATGCAGCTGTGATCCTCGGCTGTGTGTCTCACCGAAGGGACCTGATGTTTTACATTATTGGTAAGTGAAGGAAAGGCTGCCACTGTATTTGTTGACCTCTCCATAGGCTTTAGAAGGGTTTATTGAAAGCCTCTGCTTTCATGGTAGTTTAGAGTCTACCTAACAAACATGAAGTTACTGTCACCCCACACTGTGCCCTCCACCTGGCAGACTTGCCTCTCCACCATTCTTCTTGTTTCTATTCCATTGACCTCGTTCCTAAGCCATCCCCTTACTTTTTCTTTTGAGAACTAGTGCAGGGTTGTTGCCTCTGTGGTGCTGCTTAATCCAGTCTGAATGTGATGTGCAGGGGTTGTGTGGTTATATGACTGCTTCCCTTAAAGGGATCTCTGTAGTTCTAATTTGCAACTCAAAGGGAATTCCATGCTGCTGTTGGGATGCCTGCTGGCCATACCTGAGACTCTGTGCCACCTCTACCTATTTACTCTGTTTGCAGTCATTTGCAGAGTTTTCAGGGACTTGTTACTCTCTAACCTTACTTGTAGCGTAACACAAACCATGAATGTTCACACAATAGCTTCTGCCTTAAACACCTAATTTGCAGTTGTGTCATTAATAAAAGGCATCTGGGGCTTATGTGGAGGGGATTTTGGTGCCTGACTCAGCCATCCTGCTGCAACCAGCCTCTCTTCTCTCCTTGCTGCAGGTGGGATCACAGTATCTGTGGTAGCTTTCTTCTTCACCATTAAGTTCCTCTTTGAGCTTGCCGCACGTATAGTCAGCTTCCTTCAGCATGAGGACCGGGAACGCCGAGGGGAGCGAACTATCTATGACTACGTGCGAGGCAACTACCTGGATCCCCGGTCCTGCAAAATCTCCTGGGATTGGAAGGACCCCTATGAGGTGGGCCATAGCATGGCCTTCCGAGTGCATGTAAGGGAATATTTCTGTTTCCATGCAGCTTTGGGGGCAGGAACAGAAGCCTGAGTTAGGGATGGGCTCTTCAAATGTTTTTTACTGGGGTGAAGCTGGATGTAGCTTAGGAGTAGGAAAGCTATCTGTTCATGCCTTTTGCTCCCTGTTAAGCGTGTTGCAGAACTCTCTAAGTGCATATCTGAGGGTTGCACCCTTTAAAATCTCATTTCCCTCTCTTTAGAGTCCTCTGGAGAGCTGGGGGAGACCAAGCTTGTCCTATTACTGCTTCCTTTACTGGGAAGTGAGTGGGCTGAGCATTGCCTTCAACAGACTTGTTGCTGTCTTTTGGTTGTGCAGCTGAAGTTGAGAGTGTGGGAGCGGGCAATTTGCCAACTCAGGAGCTGTAAAGCTTCATGGCCGCTCCCCATTCCTCCAAAATTGAGTGTTATTCTGTCTGATCTGGAAAAGCCTGCCAAGGACACTTGTTTCCCTCCAGTTCCGAAAGGCCAAGCCTAAGAAAATTGGACAAGTATACAAATAAGATGGGCTTGAACACTGAGGGTTTGGAGCTACATGGAGAAAGTGAACAGTTTTTGCTAGGCTTACGTGCCCACTTCTCTGCTCCATGTTCCCCACCCAGGGTATCAAAATAAGAAGAAAGGTTCAGCA